GTGTGTGTGTGTGTGTGTGTGTGTGTGTGTTGCGGTGTAGAGCAGAGTGCTGGTGGTCATAAAGTACAGGAAAGAGCTCGGCGGTAAGTACAGATGAACTCTGTGTGTGTGATTAAACATTAAACTAATGGTGATCGGGATCGAGTCCAAATGTTTTCCCATGATGCTCAGGGACCATCGGGGGGTAATAAACTGTGAATCAACCACAGCACGTTGCCATAAGTATGTGGACGGTTGAACACTCATGATGCTCCTGTAACGGCTCCACTCCTCCTGTCGTAACGTTTGTTATTTTATTTCCTGCGTTGATAGGAAACATCTCGAGACGTAGAATCGTCCGGTCACGTTTCCTTACGTAGATCTGTTAGCATGAAGCCTCGAGTACGATCAAACAAGAAAATAGTTTGGTCGTTTTGAGCTGAAATTCAAACATTTGTTAAGTTAATAGTTAATATTTGAAGTAACAGAACACTTGGAGCAGTTTGCCGTACAGCAGGGGGCGCTCCTCAGCAGATGAACCACAGCCCTTGAATGAAGATGGAAAACATCAGTGAGAGAAGAACGAGCTGAGACGACATCTTTTGACAAACATTTATTTAACGTCTACTTTGAGTTTCAGTTTGGTTCCTGTCCTATCTGTTAACATGGAGGAGATTAATGAGCTGGTGGGGGGGGGTCAGAGGTCGGAGGACTCCAGGTACCAGAGTCCACTGTCACAGAATCAGTTGAGTGACCTCAGGAGTTTTCATCGTGATCTAGTTTGAACTCGTCTGTTTTCATCATTTCAGCTGATTGGTCCAGTTCCATCACACGTCTTCATCATACGTGAACAGAAGCTCTGACGTGTTCCTCACAAGTTTCCTTTGTCATGTTGAGCTGCAGCAGGTAAAACACGGTGAAATTCATTTTCATTTCTTTATTCACTAATTACAATTTGTGTGATTAACGAGGATGAAGACGATGAAGAGCGACGATGAAGAGCAATGAAAAACCTTGAACAACAATGAGCAGAAGAAGAGGAGGAAGAAGAGGAGAAAGAAGAGGAGGAGGAAGAGGAAGAAGAAGAGGAGGAAGAAGAAGAGGAGGAAGAAGAGGAGGAGGAAGAGGAGGAGCGTTTGATTCCCGGGCAGCTGATGGTTACTAAAGGTTTTTTAAAGAAGGATTATTTGCGTCTGTCCCTCCCACATGAATACTAATGAGGAGGCACAATATCACTGATCCATCCACACCTCCTCCTCCTCCTCTCTCTCTCTCTCTCTCTCTCTCTCCCTCCCTCTCTCTCCCCCCCTCCTTCTCTCTCTCCCCTTGTCATTACGCGTGCCAGTCACCTGCCTCTCCCTCCGCCCCCTGGTGTCCCGTCGTCTTTGGGTTCTTAAGTGTTTTCTGATTGGCTGCTCTTTGTTGTTAAAGCTCATTAAAGCGCGTCCACCTTCAATAAGAACTATTAATAAACTCCCGCTCCGCCCGCGTGCGTGACGGCTGCAGCCACAATGAAGCTTCATTGAGTCAAATCAATTGAAAAACATTTGAAAATCTTTTCTTCCAGGATTTTCGCTCGTTTCTTTCTCGTCTGTGTCTCCGGACAAAAGCGCGCACTCTCCGGTTTGTCACGGAGCTCCGGGAGCGGGGGGGGGGGGGGGGGGGGGGCGGGGGGGAGTCTGGACGTTAAAATCACATTTAATACAAAATCTACTAAATATCAACTCGTGCTCGTTTTGAAAATTAAATAATACTTAAATAAATATTTGAATATTTAATGATAGAAACATTTTGATTCAACAGGTGTGTGTGTGTGTGTGTGTGTGTGTGTGTGTGTGTGTGTGTGTGTGTGTGTGTATCGCAGATGTTTCAGAGTGAGGTCTGGTGCAGA